AGCACAACCACTGGGCGAGAACCGCACCCCATGGATTTGTCCACTGTGCTGCAGGTCCTGATTGATCTCCCTCGTGTCGCCAGCCCAACGGGAGAGGGCTTCCTTCTCCTGCCCCTCACTTCCTTCTCCCCCTAGCGTCGTGACTGACACCGGCTTCTCTTCTTAGTTTTGCTATATTTTAAGTTGTGAAGGCGATTCAGGGTTGAGTCAGCGTTCCACACACGGTGTGTCACAAACATACGTGGAACCAGAGAGGAGCAGAAACCCAGGTTTCAAGAATAGGCAGTCACAGGTGGGGCTGGCTTGAGTGTGGTGAACGGATTCTTGTGGGCCACCCGGCTGCTCTAGAGCCTCCTAAGGCGTGAGGTGGCAAGGTGGGGCCTGTGTCGGGCAACACCAAAAATTTGGAGCATGTATTTTTGTATAGGTATTATATACTGTAATTCATATAATAAGTAATCAGAGAAAAAGTTATTTAAGAAAATCATAGGAGGAAGATCTACTTAGTATCATATAACAGAAGTAGGACTACATAAAGTCATCCTCATGTCTCTCTGTTTGAGTAGGTTTGAGGGAGGAGGAGGGGGGACGGTAGGGTCTTGCTCTTGGGGTGGCAGAGTGAGAACATCTGAGTAAGTGGCCCACGTGGTTCGAACCCGTTTGTTCAAGGGTCACTCTATATAGATACCTGCTGCAAGCGAATCTATAGCTAAGCTGCAATAAGGAAATTAAAGACACATCACCCCAGGGTTTTAAATCCAGGTGAGGAGAATAAGCACCACATGTGAAGGATGTTTCATTCAAATCAATTGTGTTCATGCAATTTTATTTTATAAGTGAAGGATAACAATTATCAGTAAATATTAAAAAATAAGGACAGATATCCTTTTGCGTCTCTCTGCAGATTAATATGTAGAATAGATTTTGTCTTGATATCTCAGATAGTTTCTAATATTGGAATTTGATAGGGTCTTATATAATAAAAGTTTGCTCTAAGAGGTAATTGTAGCTTCAGATCTTCAAAGATGAGACATTAAAGTAACAATCTGCCTCCTAGAACAGGGACCTCTCAAAAATCCTAAAGATGTCCCTTTATACGGTTGATCCCGAGAGGAAAATGAGTGGGCGGAAAGGTATTTTCATATGATGCTGAGTTGAACTGTGGGTAGCCTGGAGTATCTGCTATCCCAAACAGCTTAGTTAGAATTCGTGGCGTAAAGCCATGTCTAGGAAGGTGCTACTTAAAGGAATCTGCCAAGTGGAAGTCTCTGCAGGGTCTCCTTGTAGCATCAATTCCTGTCTTGGTACTCATTATTCTTGGAGTCTCTGGTTTGTCTGCACCATGCGTTGGAACTAAGACTACTGGGGACATTGTACCATGTTAGGTTCCTTTGATATTGTCAGTGTTCCCCAGCTCGTAAGATGTGTGAATGGTAATGAAGAATTGTTTTTGGAATGCTAAGGAGCCACCTTTGGGGCTACAATATAGGAAAAAGCAGAGTAATTTTACTCATGCTCTGAAATAAATCCTTATCAGCATCAAAACCTCTGGCGCATAAGATGGTATCACACTGTGTATTTTGTGTTGAAATGTTTTGGGAAGATGAACCCCTTGGTGGAAAAGTCTAAAGAACCAATGCGTTCAGATGGAGAAGGCCAACAAGTACAGAAACAAGTTCATGTGCTAGTTGTTTTTTCTGAAAAACGATGGAGGCAGATGGAAAGAAAATGAAGATAATGCTTACTTGGCAAACAGTGTACATGCTAAATGCGTGCTCCCACCGTAATGAGGAAGAATGAAGATGCTTAATCTTATCATCTTTAGACAATAGAGAGGGAGTCAGGGATTCTGATGAGTAGAGAGTCGAGGTCAAAGTTGAAAAAGAGGATGTGATTCCAGAACCTAAACCATGACTGTGTGAGTGACAGCAGCCAGGGAAGGCTTATAGGAGTAGGGCTGGTTCTCTCTGCTTATTCTGCAGCTATTTTGCTGGCAACTGAGTGGCCTTAGCTTGCACACTGGCAAACCCAGCTTCTTCTTTTGTCAGTTTGAACACTAAACTGGTTTCTCCGTTCTTCAAGAATTTCGAGGGATCATATTCTAAACATCAATACTAGACTGAAAGATGGGAGTAGAAATTATCTTTTAGGTCCCTAGCTTTGTTTGCCTACAGTGGAAAATGGGACGGATCAATGTCTTGATACACTGTTTATTCTAGAATTTCTCTGGCTATCATAAATGTGAGTTATTTAGAATGTTTTCCTATTAATTGCCCCAAATATTACTGGGTACATATTAGGATCTGTTACCTTAGCTTGTGTATGAGGATGTAAGTGGTTAATAGATTCAAGGCCGGGCGCAGGGTGGCTCACCCTGTAACCCTAGCACTCTGGGAGGCCGAGTGGGCAATTGCTCGAGTCAGAGTTTGAAACAGCCTGAGCAGAGAGAAGACCCATCTCTACTATAAATAGAAAAAATTAAGGGTCAGCTAATATTATATATAGAAAAATAGCTGGACATGGTGGCACCATGCCTGTATCCCAGCTATGGACGGAGGCAGAAGGGTTGCTTGAGCCCTAGATTCTAGGTTCTGTGAGCTAAGCTGACACCACAGCTTCACTCATAGCTGGGCCAAAGCGCAGACTCTGTCTCAAAAAAAAAAAATTCCATGGACCAAATTAAAGTAAATGCCAAATGAGGATTAAATTTAAAACAAATGAAAAGAAAGATTATGGTTTAATCCCTAATGGAAGCGACAATTCCAAGAAAAAGATCAAAGAAGAAAGCACCCAAGCCATACTAGAATTTTAAATTTTTAAACTTAAAAAATGAGATAACCTGCCACCTAACAATATGACAGAAAGTAAATAAAACATGAGAAGCATGAATGCCTCAGAGGATGACCTCCATCTGTACTAAATGGGGACAACTGGTACAGCTTTGTTGAAGAGCAGCAAACATATGAAATTGAAAGTCTAAAAACATTCATAGTTGTTGACATAGTATCCTACTTCTTTGTATCCTAAAATAATCAGAGATACAGGCAAACGATATATGATACTCACTACTGTTTTGTTTTGGCTTTGTTTTTTGCATCATACAACACCTGAACAAATTAAAAAGTCCACCAGTGGATGAAATTCATTCAATAAATTATGCATAATAACATGGAATATTTGAGTCTTAAATGATGTTTTGCCGGGCATGGTGGCTCACGCTGTAATTAGCACTCTGGCAAGGCGAGGATTGCTCGAGGGCCAGGATTGAGACCAGCTGAGCAAGAGGAGACCCTGGTCTACTAAAAATAGAAAGAAATTAGTTGGACAACTAAAATATATACAAAATCGGGCAGTGGTGGCCATGCCTGTAGTACCTCAGCTACTCAGGAGGCTGAGCAGAAGACTTGCTTAAGCCCAAGAGTTTAGGTTTTCTGTGCTAGCTGATGCCACAGTACTCTAACCTGGGCAACATAGTGAGACTGTCTCCAACAAAAAAAAAAAAAGAGTTTTTCAGAGAATTAAAATGGAAAAATATCATAACTGAAAGTAAAACATGAAAATTAGTACAGTATAACTATACAGATGGAGAATACTAAATGAAGATATTCTAAAATATAACGTGGCACATTTGGGCTGGAATAAGGAAATGCTGTATTTCCAAACATATTTTTTACTGTTGAACACGAACGATGGTTTTTATCAATCTTTGAGGATTTTCTTAAAGCTAGTTAATATTATATAAATTAGCCGGGCATGGTGGTACATGCCTGTAGTCCCAGCTACTCAGGAGGCTAAGGCAGGAGGATCACTTGAGGCCAGGAGTTTGAGGTTGCTGTGAGCTAGGCTGATGCCACGGCACTCTAGCCCAGGCAACAGAGTAAGACTCTGTCTCAAACAACAACAACAAAAATAAATGTTTTGGGAGTGTATTTTCTATTCTGCTTGCAAGTAAAAATTCGATCAACTCAATAAATTGACCCAATGATTTGTAGAGTCCTGAGCTGGCCATGGAGGGAGACGACAATGAGTGAGATAAGGTTTTCTGGCCAGAATGAGTGGTGTGGAGAATGCACACAACACCCACCAGACCTACACTGTGCAGTAGAGAAAGTGCTGCAGAAACAGACAGGAAGGTGAGATTGATTCCGATGAGGGGGCTGTGTATGGAGAGGGCTTCACAGAGGTGATACCTGAAGAAAAAGAAAAGATTCAGGACAAGATGATTCGACTCGTTTGAGATTGTTCCCCTGACTCCATCATCTGCTCCCATTTTTCACTGGGCTGGTACAGGAGTTGCTTCTCTATTATGTATCTGATAAGTGAGTCCCAGAATAATTTGGGGGAGAAAAGTTAAGGCAGATTATGTTTCACTAAAAAATTTTAGGATTTCCTTCCCTTGAAGAGTCATTGTGGGTGGAGCGAGACAAAGAGAATTTATGGCATTCATCCATAAATAATGAATGATCTGCCACCAGGCGCACTTCCGGACCAAAACGCACTGTTCGTTTGTAAAGAGATGGCTTAACAGCAGCGTATTGGCCTCTGAGAGAGCACAGGGGGCAGAAGAAAGCTATGTTGCTCTGATCCAGGCATGCAAGGACATGCCTTCGGTGCAATTCAGAACAAATTTTAGCATGAAAAGAAACATCCAGCAGTTAGACAATAAGAGGATAGATATGATTCAGAGAGCACTGGAATTTTTCCTCATTTAAACGAAACAGAGTGACCTGGACAGTTATTTTTTGTTTTGCAATTTGTTGCATGTGTGTGAACGGTAATAGTGCCTGTAAGTGAGGTGCCCGTGTGGGGAGAACTTCATGTTTCTTTTTGTTGTGCATGAGGATTATTTCTCCTCAGTGTTGGAGCTGGCCTCTCCTTTGAGTTGCTTCTTTGCATGAGCCTGTGACCTCATGTATTATGCAACTAACTCATTTGTATATGTTGCTTCTCTTGAGACTGTTCCTAAGTATATGCATTTTTTGTTTTTGTTCCTCAAACAGGAAAACTCCAGAGATGAAAACCGAGCTCTGGTTCATCAGCTTTCCAACGAGAGTAGACTCTCCATCACTGACTCCTTGTCAGAGTTTTTTGATGCTCAGGAAGTTCTGTTATCTCCAAGCTCTTCAGAAAATGAGGTTTGAGCACTGTTTTCAGTTAGTTGCCTCAGAAATCCCTTTTGTTGCCTTGTCTGTTAACTTGTTCAGTAAATGTCTATATTTAGAAACACTAAACTCAACTGTTCCCATCTTTATATTCTGACAGTTCTCTCATAAATCACACCCAAAAAGTACAAAATGATACAATATGTTAAAAGAAAAAAGTTGTACAAGTAGAGGGTGTTGAATATTTTCTTGTTTCTGTTACTTGATTTGTTTCACTTCCTTTCAAGTACAGGTTAATAATTTTGACTTTTACTTATTTAATGATGTAATGTTTCTAGTACAGAGAAAAAAATTAGCATTCTATGTATTTTGTCATGGAATTTGACCTATATTAATTCATAATATATAATAATTTGTTTTAATTTAATACATAAAAATTATACTTTCCTAAATAGGCAGGTATCATAGCTATCATTGCTGTATGTGTGTGCTAACAATTTTACCCCTTAATATAGAAGTAGCAATCTTGTTTATGTATTAATTCCCATAGAAGAGTCTTTTTTCGCAAATAGTTCAAAGACCAATTGTTCCTCCTTCTACTCAAACACTAACAAATTCTAAAAATGCAGTCTGAATTAATAAGAATTTTTATAATAACAAAAATCTTGAGTTTTACTTGAAAATAGCATCTAAAAGTATATCTATAGATTTGTAATGTGGGTATCAAAATGTTTGATCATTGGAAATAAGGATTTTTTAATGAAAATCTGCCTCTTGTTTCCTCTTACGCTGATGTATATTATTTCTTCTTTCCCATAGATTTCTGATGATGATTCCTACGTCAGTGACATAAGCGATAATCTTTCTTTAGACAACCTCAGTAACGATTTAGATAATGAGAGACAGACCTTGGGTAAGATTTACATTATTCGACCTCTGAAAAGTTTGGATTTTCACAGAATACTATTGAGCATATATAGTTGATCCTTGGACAACATGAGAGTTAAGGCACCAACACCTCTTGCTACCAAAAATTCACTTGTAAATTTTGACTCCCCAAAGACTTAACTACTAATAGCCTACTGTTGACTGGAAGCCTTACCAATAACATAAACAGTTGATTAGCATGTATTTTGTATAGGTATTATATACTGTATTCATATAATAAAGTAAGCTAGAGAAAAAAATGTTATTAAGAAAATCATAAGGAAGAGAAAATCTACTTAGTATTCATTAAACAGAAGTGGATCATCATAAAGGTCATCCTCATTGTCTTCGTGTTGAGTAGGTTGAGGAGGAGGAGGAGGGGTAGGTAGGTCTTGCTCTCTTGGGGGTGGCAGAGTGGAAGAACATCTGAGTATAAGTGGACCCATGTGGTTCAAACCCGTGTTGTTCAAGGGTCACCTGTATAGAATACCTGCTGCAAGCAGAGATCTATAGCTAGTGCTACATAAGGAAATTAAGACACGATCCCTACCCACAGGGTTTTATAATCCAGGTGAGGAGATAGCACCCACATGTGAAGGATGTATTCATTCAAATCAATTTGTTCATGCAAATTTTTATTTTATAAAGTGAAGATGTACCAATTATCATGTAAATATTAAAAAAATAAGGCAACAGATATCCCTTTTGGTCTCTCTGCAGATATATTAGAATATAGATTCTTGTCTTAGATATCTCAGGATTTTTATAATTTAGGAATTTGATAGGGCTTATATAATAAAAGGTCTTGTCTAAGAGGTAATTTAGCTTCAGATTCTTCAAGATGAGACATTTTTAAGTAACAAACTGCTACCTCCTAGAAGCAGGGACCCCTCAAGATATCCTAAGATGTCCCTTTATTACTGGTTGATCCCGAGAGGGAAAATGATGGGCAGGAAAGGTATTTCATAATGCTAGTTTGAACTGTGGGGTACCTGGAGTATCTGGCTAGCCCCCAAACAGCTCTAGTTTAGAACTTCAGTGAGCAGTAAAGCTTGTCTAGGAAGGTGCTCTTAAAAGGAATCTGCCCAAGTGGACAGTTCTCTGCATGGGTCTTTGTAGCATCAAATAGTCCTGGTCTTGGTACTCATTATTCCTTGGAGTCTCTGGGTTTGTCTGCACCATGCGTTGGATACTTAAAGCATCTACGTGGTGGACATGTACCATGTCAGGTTCCTTTTTGATATTTCAGTGTTCCCCAGCTCAGTAAGTATGTGTGAACTGGAATGAAGAATTGTTATTTGAATGCTAAGGAGCCACCTTTTGGGGGACTACAATATAGGGAAAAAAGCAGGTAATTTTACCATGCTCTGAAATAACATCCTTTCAGCATCAAACCTGCTGGGCATAAGATGGTCATCACACTGTGTATTTTGTTTGAAATGTTTTTGGGAAGATGAACCCCTTGGTGGAAAAGTCTAAGAACCAATGCGTTCAGTGGAGAAGGCCACAAGTACAGAAACAAGTTCATGTGCTACTTGTTTTTCTAGAAAAACGAGGAGGCAGATGGAAAGAAAAATGAAGGAAGTAATGCTTACTTGGCAAACAGTGTACATGCTAAACTGGTGCTCCCACCGTAGATGAGGAAGAATGACAGATGCTTAAGTCTTCCATCTTTGAGGCAGTAGAGAGGGAGTCAAGGGGATCTCTGAGTGAGTAGAGAGTTCAGAGGTCAAAGTTGAAAAGAGAGGATGTGATCCAGAACCTAAGACCATGACTGTGGTGAGTTGACAGCAGCCAGGGAAGGCTTATAGGAGGTTAGGGCTGGTTCTCTCTGTCTTATTCTGCAGCTATTTTGCTGGCTAACTGAGGTGGCCTTAGCTTGAACAGCACTGGCAAACCCCAGCCTTCTTCTTTGTCAGTATTTGAACACTAGAAATGGGTCTTCTCCAGTTCTTCACAGAAATTTTCTGAGGGGATCATATTTCTAAACATCAATACTAGACTGAAAAGATGGGATGTAGAAATTATCTTTAGGTCCCATAGCTTTGTTTTGCCTACAGTAGGAAATGGGAATGGATCAAGGTCTTGATACACTGTTATTCTAGAATTTCTCTGAGCTTATCATAAATGTGAGTTATTTAGAATGTTTCCTATTAATTTTGTCCCCAAAATATTACTGGGTACATATTAGGATCTGTTACCTTGCTTGGTGCTATGAGGAAGTTAAGTGGTTAGAATATGGATTCAAGGCCGGGCGCGGGTGGCTCATGCCTGTAATCCTAGCACTCTGGGAGGCCAAGGCGGGTGGATTGCTCGAGGTCAGGAGTTCGAAACCAGCCTGAGCAAGAGTGAGACCCCGTCTCTACTAGAAATAGAAAGAAATTAATTGGCCAACTAATATATATATATAAAAAAAATTAGCTGGGCACGGTGGCGCATGCCTGTAGTCCCAGCTACTCGGGAGGCTGAGGCAGAAGGATTGCTTGAGTACAGGAGACTGAGGTTGCTGTGAGCTAGGCTGACACCACGGCACTCTAGCCTCAGCAACAAAGTGAGACTCTGTCTAAAAAAAAAAGAATATGGATTCAGGGACTAGACTTCCTCAGTTAACCCCAGCTCTGCCATTCACTGGCTACTTCTATGTGCCTCATTTTCTTCATCTGTAAAATGAGGATAATAATATTGTTTGCTTCAAGAGGTAGTTATAAAGAATAAATGTGAGTAATTCATGCAAAATACTTAGAAGACAAGCAAAAGCAAGATGTGTGTTAGCCATTAGTAGTAGTGGTGGTAGAGTAGCATTCTTTCAAAGTTTAGATTGGTGTAGTCAAAATATTTTTGAGACTACATGGAAAATGTTTTTTTAAATGACTATCATTTGTAACTACTTACCTGTGTCAGATTTTGCCCATATTAAGCAATTAAACCAAATTCAAAAATTAATTGGATGCTTAGATTAACATGAGTTGCATTGTATGACTCCATTTTCATATTATTCTATCCATCAAAGCTGTCTCTCTTTTCAGAGTGACTGACTTTGTAATGAGTAAATGTTAACTATTTATGTCTAATAAATAAATGTATACCAATAAACTATATTGGTGGAATACAAAAGATTTCATTTGAAAATAGGCACATTTGGGATGGGAGAGGAATTTCAGAGCATGAAACAAAGGAAAAGAAAAGATTGATAGATTTATATCCCTAAAATGTATGTGTTTCATTCATTAAAATATTTCATGGGCCAGGCGCGGTGGCTCACGCCTGTAATCCTAGCACTCTGGGAGGCCGAGGCGGGCAGATTGCTCGAGGTCAGGAGTTCAAAACCAGCCTGAGCAAGAGCGAGATCCCATCTCTACTTAATAGAAAAAATTAATGGGTCAACTAATATATATATAGAAAAAAATTAGCTGGACATGGTGGCACATGCCTGTAGTCCCAGCTATTGGGGAGGCTGAGGCAGAAGGGTTGCTTGAGCCCAGGAGTTCTAGGTTGCTGTGAGCTAAGCTGACACCACAGCATTCACTCTAGCCTGGGCAACAAAGAGAGACTCTGTCTCAAAAAAAAAAAATTCCATGGACCAAATTTAAAGGTAAATGCCAAATGAGGATTAAATTATAAAACAAATATGAAAAGAAAAGATTATGGTTTTAATACCTAAATAGGAAAGCAGACAATTCAGCAAAGAAAAAAGATTCCAAAGAAGAAAGCACCCCAAGCCATACTAGAAATTTTTAAATTTTTTAAACTTAAAATAAGGAGATAACACTGCCCACCTAACAATATGACAGAAATGTAAAATGAACAATGAGAAGCCTGGAAATGCCTCAGAGGATGGACACTCACATCTTTTACCCTAAATGGGAAAATCGGTACAGCCTTTTTTTTTTTTTTTTTTTTTTTTTTTTTTTTTTTTTTTTTTTTTTGAGACAGAGTCTCACTTTGTTGTCCAGCTAGAGTGATGCCGTGGCGTCAGCCTAGCTCACAGCAACCTCAATCTCCTGGGCTTGAGCGATCCTTCTGCCTCAGCCTCCGAGTAGCTGGGACTACAGGCATGCGCCACATGCCGGCTAATTTTATATATATATATCAGTTGGCCAATTAATTCTTTCTATTTATAGTAGAGACGGGGTCTCGCTCTTGCTCAGGCGTTTTGAACTCCTGACCTTGAGCAATCCGCCCGCCTCGGCCTCCCAAGAGCTAGGATTACAGGCGTGAGCCACAGCGCCCGGCCGGTACACGCCTTTTGAAGAGCAGTCAAATCATATGAATTGAAAGTCGAAAAACATTCATAGTTGTTGACATAGTAATCCTACTTCTTTGTATCCTAAGAAATAATCAGAGATACAGGCAAATATCTAAGTATATGAATACTCACTACTGGTTTTTTGTTTGTTGGCTTTGTTTTGCATCATAACAAAACACTGAACAAATCTAAAAGTCCAACAGTGGATGAATGATTCATAAATTATGGCATACGTACAACATGGATATTTGTAGTCATTAAAATGATGTTTTGCCGGGCTGGTGGCTCACGCCTGTAATTCTAGCACTCTGGGAGGCTGAGGCGGGAGGGAGGATGCTCGAGGGCAGAGTTGGAGACCAGCCTGGAGCAAGAGTGAGACCCATCTACTAATAAATAGAAAGAAATTAGTTGGACAACTAAAAATATATACAAAAACTTAGCTGGCATGGTGGCGCATGCCTGTAGTCCCAGCTACTCAGGAGGCTGAGGCAGAAGACTTGCTTAAGCCCAAGAGTTTGAGGTTTCTGTGAGCTAGGCTGATGCCACAGTACTCTAACCTGGGCAACATAGTGAGACTGTCTCAAAAAAAAAAAAAAAAAAGATGTTTTAGGAGAATATTAAATAACATGGAAAAATACTCATAACTGAATAAGTAAAACATGAAAAATATATACAGTATCAACTATACAGATGAGAAAATACTAAATGAAGATATTCTAAAATATAAGTGCTACAATTTGGGGCAGTGGAATAAGGAATGACTGTTATTTCCTATATAAATTTTCCGTAATGAACACGAACGATTGTTTTTATCAGATTTGAAGGATTTTCTAAAGCTTAGTTTGAAGTTTTTATACACAATAATCTCATAGCATAAAATCTAATTCTAGTTTTTCTAAGCACATATGGGCTACCAGGAACTAGCTTTTGAGTAGGACTTAAAGGCCCTCTGTGACTAAATCCATGGTTTTGCTTGTATTTTCGGTATTTAACTGCTCAGAATTCTCTTGCTTATGTTCTGACTTCAGTCCTCGCTGGATAACTGAGTTTAACAGTAAAATCGAGTATTTGCTAGGTAAGGTTTTATTCGCAGATTTTATAAAAACAATAGTTTAAAATAAAGCTTTGTGGAGACAACCGGTCTCTCTTCAATGCAGGGCCTGTTCTCGAAAGTGGTGGGGAGCGAGGTCCAAGAGGAGAACCTGCTTGCCGCACCCTGCCCCAACACCAGCAACATCAGCCTGTGGAACATCCTGAGGAACAACATAGGGAAGGACCTGTCCAAGGTGGCCATGCCCGGGAGTTGAACGAGCCCCTGAACACGCTGCAGAGGCTCTGCGAGGAGCTGGAGTACAGTGAGCTTCTGGACAAGGCTGCGCAGATTCCAAACCCCCTGGAGAGGATGGTGAGGAATCAGCCTCCCAACATCCCTGTCCAACCTCTGTCCCTGAGCACAGGCCATTCACGTGGGCCCATCAGAGACCACACAGGCAGAGCTGAGAGGCGGCTCTCCTCCCCTCTGGTTTCATTCGATTGCTTCTCCCGAGTTCCCTTCTCAGCGATGTCTGGGTCTCCTCTGCCAGTCACCGTGTGGGATTTGCCACGGGGCCGGGGGCTTGTGGCAGCCTTCTCCTGAGGTAGCTCTGCTCTGTGGCTTTGTGCTTTCTCTCTTTCTCCAAAAGCCTTCCATCCGGTGTGTCTGACACGCGTGGCTGAAAACATGCTTGAGGCTGTCTGCGTGTTTATTTTTACTACCCCGGGTGGACAGAATTTAATTTCTCAGCTGTTTTTCTCCTGCAGGGTAAATTCCCTGAGAATGTTTCTGTTTATTTCTGGAATTGTCCCATCAGCTCTAGGTTTTGGAAATATATATTCACAGAGGAGTTTCTACATCAGAGTGTTAAAAAAAAACAACAGAAAACTCATCCTGGAAAATTCACTTTCTGTCCTTACTCAGCATCACCTCCAGTCACAGGTTGTTGGTTTTCTAAGGTGCTGCCAGTGTCCCTCATCCTTCCAATGTCTTTGGGAATGGGAGGCAGAAAGTCCCCAGGGTTAAGACTGGGGCAAATCAGCCCTATTTATGACTGTGGCTGACTTGTTCTTTGAAACTTGGGTGTCTGTACCTCTTTTTGCCCCTTCATATGTTACCTGATGAGCAGTAAGGTCATCATATGGGATGCTGGGACATCACTGTCCCTAGATGGGTCTCTCCTGGACACTCGCTGATTGGCTCAATTGGAACTGGAGCACCCCTCACAGGTCTAGCCATGCCCACACCGTCCCATGGATAGAGGATGCCATTCCTTTCTAAATTCTAAGCAGTCTGCAGTCTTTACCCTCATTAAAACATCATCACTTGCATTCTCCATACTCAGAAAAAAGAAGAAGAAAAGAAAATGAAACAATTAAAAAAAAACAAAACATCATTACTTCAGTGATTTGCAGATTAAGATGGAATCTGAGCTACCGGCTGAGAGAGACATCCCATAGTCATTCTACCCAGCCTCCAGGGCCTCCCTCATCAAAGAGACTGTCTTTCTTCATACTGATGATAATCAGGGTAGGAGAGAAAAACAAGCTGTATTTTTTTAAAAAAATCTTCTTTGTTACTTTTCCCCGGAGAATTTTTGCTGGAAGCAAAAAAGAGAGGCAAGTAGCTTCCAAGGCAAGTGTTAAAAGCCAACGTTTGTGGACAGCTCTTTCAAGAAAACGACTAACTTTGAGGATGAAAGTATTCTTAAAGGCGGTTCATTCTCGTGGCAATTTAGAGACCCCTTAGTATGTTCCGCTGGTTGCTCGGTATAATTGGCCTTCCATGGAAGTTTGAGCAGGGGCCTCACATCCCTAGCACAACCACTGGGCGAGAACCGCACCCCATGGATTTGTCCACTGTGCTGCAGGTCCTGATTGATCTCCCTCGTGTCGCCAGCCCAACGGGAGAGGGCTTCCTTCTCCTGCCCCTCACTTCCTTCTCCCCCTAGCGTCGTGACTGACACCGGCTTCTCTTCTTAGTTTTGCTATATTTTAAGTTGTGAAGGCGATTCAGGGTTGAGTCAGCGTTCCACACACGGTGTGTCACAAACATACGTGGAACCAGAGAGGAGCAGAAACCCAGGTTTCAAGAATAGGCAGTCACAGGTGGGGCTGGCTTGAGTGTGGTGAACGGATTCTTGTGGGCCACCCGGCTGCTCTAGAGCCTCCTAAGGCGTGAGGTGGCAAGGTGGGGCCTGTGTCGGGCAACACCAAAAATTTGGCAAGAGGCTAATAAGGGAAGTTACGTGACCGGTGAACATTCGTGGAAGGCACTCGGCTCTTCTTCAGTACAAGAAACTTCATGAAATGGGCTGGAAGAGGAAATGTTGAGATTGTTACTGCCCAACATTAGAAGGAAACTTTGCTATTGCTGTGAAGGTTTAATGTTTTTGGCAAAAAACAAAACAAAACAAGAAAACAAAGAAAAACAAGGAAAAAAAACCCAAACTAAACGGTAATATGTTTCATTGGTACCCTGAGCAGGGAACTGATAAAATGCTGATAGCCTTACAGTGAAGGCTGTGAAGAGATTTTGTTAATTTTATGTTCACACAAAATTTTCCTTCCTTTTTAATATTTTTTTCCCAGAAAAGAAGAATTTTAAAGTTGTGGTATCCTGTGTCTTGTTTCCTAAGCTTAGAAAATGACTCTCACAGATTTTCTTTGTTCACAATAAAGAGTTTAGGTTTCTGTAATTTCAAATTGTGAGTAGCTAAACTTATGATGATCATCCCTGAATTTGGGGGGAAATTTTGCTTTTTTAAAAACATTCTTTCTGTCTCCTCTAAAGCCTTAGCACCATATCAGGATTCTCAGCTAATGTGAAGCGTAAACATACTGGCATCAGCTTAGCAGTTCAAAAGGCAGCATAGTCCATTTTATCAATGCCATCGTCTTGATAGCATCCTGAGGCTTTTAGGCATCAAAATAAATGGACAGTTTAAAAATGTTTGGTTAATTTGTCTCTGGGCCAAAACAAACATTATTTATATCTACAATCTTAAATCTGTTGGGTTGATTATTTTTAAACCAAAGACAAATCATTGGCTTTCTGAAATAAAGCCACAGAGAGAGAAATTGAGGATTTATTTTATTTGTTTGTGAAAAATACATTTCTTGGTGACCCAGAAATGACAAAGTTCTTTCCTTCTTGTCCTTAGGTGTACGTGGCAGCTTTTGCCATATCGGCGTATGCATCTAGCTACTTCCGAGCCGGGAGCAAACCGTTTAATCCGGTTCTTGGAGAAACGTATGAATGTATTCGTGAGGACAAGGGCTTCCGGTTTTTTTCGGAACAGGTAGATATACACTATTTTCATTTGTTGGGAGGAAGTTGCTGATGCCTTCCATTGAATGTGCTTCAGAAGTATTTATTTTCCATCTTTTGTTGGTTTCAAAGCAACTGAGATAACGACAGCGCTTTAAACATACAGGGAGGCATGGATTTCCCTTTGACTGAAACCTAGCCGCCACTCACTGGCATAAAGGTACTCGTAATTCTTAGCACTTGCTTGGCTGTATGCATAACCAGTGAGTGTCCTTTCTCTTTAAAATTATCAGTGAAAGGAATTTTCAAGGCATGAAGCATTTGCCCAAACGGCAATTTTAGAGGCTTAAAGTGTGCTCCCTGAGTCGATGACATCATCATTCCGGAGCGTGAATGTCCCCATCAGAATGGGTAGCACCAAATAAATGTGCTAGTTTTGATTTTGACGTAAGAGGAATCATTCGTTCATGTATTTATTCATTCAAATCAGTGAGTTGTGTATAGCACCTATACCGTGTACCTGGCGCTGTTCCAGACGCTAAGATTCTACAGTGGGGTGGCGCTGAGGGGCCAGACAGGAGTCCCTGTCCTCATCTGATGCATGGACAGTCCTCCTACTTATGCAGCCTAAGTCCCATGAGATTTTTCTTGTGTAAGAATTAGCATAGGATAATGTTCAGGAGTCAGACAGCCCAAGTTCCAATCTTAGCTCTACCTCTACTAGCTTTATAACCAGGGCAAGTTACTTAACTTCTCTGTGCTTTGGTTTCCTCTTTAAGGGGGAGAGATGACAGTTGTACCTTAGATGGATTTGTGATGATTAAATAAGAAACTGTCTACAAAGCACTTGGACCAGTATCTGAGGCACGAAGATAAATGTCGTATGGGTGTTTGCTGTCGTTATTGACGCGTGACAGCATAGTGGGATGTTGGGAACATCCAGAATATCTGTCAAAAAGAAATTGTTTAGCTAAAACAGAGTGTGTGTGTACTGAAATGAAAAATAACCCTCCTCCCCGCTTGTTAAGGCAGCGATTGAGTACCTTCACTTTCTCTATATCCCTAAATGCCAGCCTAGGGACACTAAACATCATTGCTTCCATATGTTTCTCTCCTCCCAATTCTTAGGGCACTGAGGAGAAAAGGGGGTGGATTGCTAAAATATTCTTTCCCTTCCTGTTATCTTGCTGCCCTCTTTATCAGTGGATTTGCATTATGGGGTTAGGAAGGGAAGGATGGATGGTGTGGTTGAGACATTTATGAAGATGGTGCTCATCTTGACTGCAAATGACTAGCAGTGTTTTCGGGAACTCAAAGGAAAACGAATATCCAATAATAACCGAAAGCATATTGTTAGTAGCTTGCCAGTTAGAAGCCGAAACAAGAAATTAGCCACTGACTGATATTGGGGATGGAAGGAGTTAAATCAGCAATTAAAAGGGATAAGATGATGTGTCTGATTCAAATTAAACTGGGTTATTTAAATACCGAACCTAAAATAGAATGAGAATAAATGAAAATATAATTTGGTTACCATGGTGTTATATGTACTCTGGTGAAAAAAAATAAAGTCCAAAAATAGCCCCAAACTACAGCAGACGATCAGGAGAGGATGAACAGCTATAAGAAAAGAGTAGTAACGTGAGCTTGAGTCAAGCTGAGCCTCACTCCCCATGAGCTCTGATGGGGCAGAGCCAAATTCGGGATCTGTTGTGTAACTCCCATAGTGGCACAGGAGAGAAATCAGGGTTCCTGGGCAGATGTGCACAAAGAGGGAAAGAGGGTTATGTGACTTAGTTTTAGTTCCATGTAATGGATCCCAAGGAAATGAGCAAGAAAGAGATGTGGTTATTATTAGCAGCATAGGATGCGCAGGGTGAGGATTTGTAGACCTACCTGCTTCAAATCCTACCTCCACGTTTCACTCTGTGCGTGGCCTCGTATAAGCCGCTTCACTTTTGGAGCCTCAGTTGTTTGTTCATCTGTAAAAGGGGTATGATGACACTTGGCTCATAGGCTGTTGTAGGCTTAAATGAAATAATACACTGATGTAAATGTTCAGCAAATGCCTATTGCTCTTATATCTAGAGGGAACTTTTAAAATGCCTTTTAATATCGCAGTGTTAAGAATAGTAAGAGGAGTGCTAAAAAGGCAGAGATGGGCTTCAGGAATGACTTGATCAAAGAAAACTAGAAAGGCATGTATCTGTTTTAATATATGTTTTAGTATATTAAAATAACATGTGCTATGTCTACTAGTACAAGCGGTTTGAAGGGGACATGATGTCACTGGTGAGTCTCTAACAGAAAAGTGGCCACCAGGCAGCCGGGAGTTGTCACGGCTGGCTTCACCATGGTAACACCATCAGTCCTTACCATGATGGAGCTGTCTCATCCAACTGCAGTTTAGCCTGATGGCCTCAGGTAGTTGGTTATTTCAATATACCCAAGAAGGGATGAGTCTCAGGGATAGATTCACACTAACTAAGCTTACAAGAGACTGATGTATAAACTAGAATGCTACCATATGAATTTACTGTGAAAAATCAGCCTGCTATGGGGACCAGAAAGCTTTGGTCAGCATGACCAGGTATGATTTTCCCATAGGCAAGATGACTTGGGAAACCAAATTATAATCATAGGTGACTGTACAATGTGAAGAAGCCTGCACCCTCCCTTAGGCATAGAAGGGTTTGGGGCCAGGGCCTTCCTTTTCCTGACCAGCAGGAGATACATCAACTCAGCTCCCACCACCCCCTTCTCCCCGTCTTGTTTATGCCGATCAGCTGAATCATTGTACATGCATGCCTTGTAATTTACTGCTTTTAAAGAGAATGCCAGAGCATTTATTCTGTTTCATGCTGGTACCTGCCAGTAGGGTTCTTTCTGCTTCTGGCCCAGGGGACAGTCTACCTTTACAGAGACAGCATGACTCTACCCTCATCTGTTATGTGTAGGTGATAGACTTAAGCTTTTCAGGATTTGGAGGTTGCTTTGCTTTCTTGCGCCTCTCTACGATGAGTACAAGTTTCTGAAGATGATAATAAGCTGGGCAGGGCCACCAAATTAATATTTTTGGCTGGAATTTTATTCTAAGGGCATTGATGAAAATTATATCTCTAAGCTAAAGGACCTGGAAAGAAACAACTTGGCTTTTCTACTGTACTTTCTAGGCAGCAGAGTCTGTGATTAGAAAGGTGGTGACTCTCTCTTTCCTCCCAGCCCTGGATCTTGTTTGTGGTTTTGGTGGGTGTGTGGATGGATGTTCAAGGTGACAAGTGTCCAGAGAAGTAGAAATAATTGCTGCTCAGAGTCCGACTACATGGCAGCTTGCCTCTCTGTTCTGGTTCTCATCCAAAAGACCCCAAAACACGGTAGCAAAAGGACTCATGCGGTCAGAAGCCAGAGAAAGCATTTCTTGTTCAAATTTTCCTTAGAACAATTAAGTATTAGGTTTGTAGAGTGCTTTATGTTTTCAAGCTTGTACACAATCTTACCTGACCACCAGAATAGCCCCGTGAGGTGGGTAAGGCCAGGATCAGTTATAGGCAAGGAAACCAAGGCCTAGAACAGGGGTCCTCAAACTTTTTAAATGGGGGGCCAGTTCATTGTCCTTCAGACTGTTGGAAGTCCAGACTATAGTTTAAAGAAAACTATGAACAAATTTCTATGCACACTGCACATATCTTATTTTGAAGTAAAAAAACAAACGGGCAAAAACACCCACGTGTGGCCCGCGGGCTGTAGTTTGAGGACGCCTGGCCTAGAGGATTAGAGTTTTCCAGTGCCCCTCAGCTAATGCTAGAACCCAGACCCTCTGCTTCCTCAGTGTCCTTTTTCCCTCACCCTTTTTGGGGGCTTTTGTGTAGATTTAATAACTGTGCTCAGAGCTACTGGAGTTGGTGGTGGTAGATATAAAAATAGCCTTTTGTATACTGTTCAGTCAATGAGATTATACATGGCATTCTCTAAACCAGGGTTGGGTAACCTGCAGCCTTAAGGCCACATGTGGCCTTCTAGGTCCTTAAGTGCAGCCTTTTGACTGAATCCAAATTTTACAGAACAAATCTTTTGATTTTTATTAATACATTTTTGTACATCTTTTACATTTTTATTTTACTTTTAAAATGAACATATTTAAAATACCGAAAGAATAAAATAAGTTTCAACAAAATAATCCTCCTGGATTGACCAGCACAATTAGAACATTAGTAAACCACCAAGGCTAACTTGGCGGCTACTACGCTCACAATTTAGTTCTAACTTTCCCCACCTCTGTGGTGCCACTACCACATGAGGCTGGTTGTTGAGATTAATGAGGATCGGGAATTACAATATTATCTTGTTTCTGCTAAAGATAAGATGATTTGCTTGTTTTGCGATACTGCAATATCAACATTAAAGAGATTCAGTGCTCAGCAGCATTAGAACATTCATGAGGACCACAAACATTTTAAATTAGAGAGGCAAGAAAGGTTGTATTGCAGACATTAAAAGATGAAAAGCAGAAGCAATGAAAATCCTTTCAAGCAGCAATAAGAACTGGAAATAATGCCACTGAAGTGACTTATAAAGTAGCTTATATACTCGAGGAAAAAAGGAAGCCATTCAGTGATATAGAAATTGTGAAAGGATGCATTGTTGAAGTTGTAGGATGCTTAGACCCTGATAACATTTCCAAGTATAAACTGCCTCTTTCAAGGAGAACCATAGCTGATCAGCAGCATGAATTAGCCTTCAACTTAACAGAACAACTTTGTGCAATCCTTCAAAAGGGAAATATATATTCTTTAATCGCTTTGGATCAATCAACCAATACTACTGACTTGGCACAGGTTTTATATTAATACTTCATTTGAGTCATAACAGAAGATTGTGTTTGCTACAAGGAGTTACTCGCTTTGGGCCCTCTTGCAAACAGAACATGGAGAATAGATATCTTCAGCAACTTTCAAGATAAATGTCATGAAGTTGGAATGAATTTGGTAAATTTAGTGAGTGTTTGTACAGATGGTACACATACATTTATAG